TTTGAGAGGTCATCAATATTTTGAAGAACTTAAGGAGGTCGTCTATGTCCAGATGATCTCTAGGAGTCCTACTATGTCTTCTACGTGCAGCAGAACTCAGAACTCCGAGTTTAGAAGACCACTGGGAACCATCACTGGTCAAAAGACCCCCAAGGTTGAGGAGACTTCCAGCGGACAATTTCCTTTAGAAGAAGAAGAGGATCTTTAGAAGATCTTCTCTGGTCAGAAAGCCTATATAATATCTCAGGAAGTTGTGTACTTTTGAACACTTCTATCTATAGAAAGAATTTGGTAAAGATATGAAGGTCCCTCTATCAATTGAAGGCCATAGGGGTTTTCTACATCTTGAAGACACTTTTAAAGGCCCTTTTCGAATAGAATATCTTAAAGAGGTCTTTTAAACGTCGAAGACCTCCTGAAGGTCTTCAAAGGCGTAAAAACCTGAAGGCCCTCAAGAGGTCTTTTAAGACTTGAAGAACTTCTAGAGGTCTTGTGAGACTTGAAGATCTTCTGGAGGCCTTCTGAGACTAGAAATCCTCCTGGAGATGTTCTAAGACTTGAAGGTCTTGAAGAATTTCTAGAGGTCTTGTGAGACTTGAAGAACTTCTGGATGACTTCTAAGACTCGAATGCCTCCTGGAAGTCTCCTAAGACTTGCAGATCTTCTGGAGGTCTTCTTAGACCTCAGGAGGCTTCTAGGACTTACACGGCTTCAAAAGGCCTTAATCTTCTGGTTGTTCTTGACTTGAAAACCTCCGGGAGGCCTTCTGAGACTTAAAGACATTCTGGAGGTCATCTAAAGCTTGAAGATCTTCTGGATGTCTTCCAAGTCGTGAAAAATGTCAAGGGGTCTGCTTAAAAACCTTCAAGAAGTCTTCTAAGACTTGAAGACCTTCTGTAGGTCTTCCTCGCATAGATGACCTTCTTGAAATCTTCTTCCTTTTAGAGATATTTTTCGCATCGAAGACCTTCTGATGGTGTTATTCGCATAACAGGCCTTCTTGAAATATTCTTCGTTTATAAGACCTTTTGGAGATCTTTTTCGTATTGAAGAACTTCTCGAGATATTTTTCGCATAGAAGACCTGGAGGTTTTCTTCGCATTGAGGAACTTCTGGAGGTCTTCTTCACATGAAAGGACTTCTTCTTAACATTGAAGACCTTCTGAAGGTTTTCTTTGCATAGAAACTCTTCTGGAGGTTTTCTTCACATTGAGGAACTTCTGGAGGTCTTCTTCACATGAAAGGACTTCTTCTTAACATTGAAGGCCTTCTGGAGGTTTTCTTTTCATAGAAAATCTTCTGGAGGTTTTTTTTCGCATAGAGGACCTGTGGAAGTCTTCTTCGCATATAAAATCTTCGCTTAGGAGACCTTTTAGAGGTCTTTTTCGCATTGAAGAACTTCTCGAGATATTTTTTGAATTGAAGCACTTCTAGAGATCTTTTTCGGTCAGAAGTTGTTCTAGAAACTTTTTCCTTAGGCTTTCGGCTCTTTTGTGGACAATGGATGTGGACATCCTACGTCTCCGTGGACGGACGCCACTTCAGGACAATTTATGTCGACCTAGCAATATCTGTCCGTCTGCTAGCATGTCTGACTACTACGCGCTATTATTTTTGAGGGACATCAGATTTTCTCCAAACTTCACATCAAGTTTGGACGATAGGGAAACAATAAATTGTCGGTTAACTCCTTCTGCTAGGTTGCCCACGAAATAGTCACGGGAGTCCTTACAACCCAAGTCAAAGATTTTCTTCAAACTTTTATCATTTCAAAAATTCTATTAATTTTAAATTTGGACTGATGATGGTGTATACCGGTCCATTCAATGTGGTACCTCCCATACAAATGGTAAAAATATTAAAAAAAAAAACAACATAAATCACACATTTATCGAATGGGCCCACAAAAAAAATTTTTTTTGAATAATTACAACTTTCAAAAATATGGAATCAGTTACAAATTGTTTCGATTTTCGGAATATTAATATCAAATTTATGTGCTGATGTAGAATACGGTATGGTGTTGCTTATAGGGTATAGAAGTTCCATTTTGATACGATATAAGTTGTTCTTAATAACTGTTAATAAAGTCCCGACTACCTTGCAACGGTTACAACGGTTGGCAACTGTTTAAGTCTTAACTGCAATCAGACAATCATCCTTCAGTGGCAATGCATAAAGTTCAATGCCATAATTCAAATGGCTGGCTTTTTTTTTCCACGCAATAGTAGAAAAGTAGTGAATAACCATTTTTAGCTCTGACGCCCTTCTATGGCGGAGATTGAAATGGCTACAGTTCGTTCAAAGTAAGTAAACGAATCGGTGTACGGACTCCTGTTGTCCCTATTTCGTTATGTGTGCACTTTTCCACTTTCCAAGAGTTATATCTGCATTTTAGCATTCTGTAACGACTGGCACCTTTATGTAGTAAGCTACTCATCTAACTGGCAAATGCAACCTTAGTCGGGGTGCATAATGTTTGTAAGTGTATGTCAGCCAGCCACCAGCCACCAAATGGATTGTTTTCATTTTTTGTTGCTATTTTAGAGCAGCAGTGAAGAACAGTAATAAATTTCCTCACTCAGTGGAACAAAGTTGTTCATTTGTTAAACTCTCACCATTTGTTTTTTTGTTGTGTATTGCCCCGGGCCGTGCTGAATACCTCTTTACACACGTAGCCAAATATCAAAATCATCTATCAATATAGACCATATCCATCCATATGGCTGGCCATCTAGTTTCGAGCATTTGCAAGGATATGCGAAGCGAGCACAATGTGGTTGAGGCGCAAGTATGTGCAACTTGCGCTACCGCCGTTTGATGATAATGATGTTTAACTTTAGATAAAACATTATCGTCCATCGTAACGAAACTATTCTCTAACAGCCCTTCCACCATCACCCATAATGTCCCTCTTTCTCCTTGTACTCTCTCTATCTCCCTTGTGGCTTGAAGCCCAGTCTATGCCAGACCAGTCTATACTACTTTGAAGTACCTTTCTGTTCCATCGGAATTGGCTGTTAAATATGTTTTTGTTACAATCGAGCCAAGAGACTCTCCATTGTACCTCCTCCTTACTTTACTTTGGCGATTTGTTTACTATTCGTGTAGTGGCTGGCTATGATGGATTTGTTTGTGGTTATTGTTGGTGTTGCTCCTGCTCGTTTGTGTTTAATGGCCATAACACCATTCTAATAACACCATCATCAACGAGAGCAACACTAACAACAAAAATCCCTTCTCAATTCCAAACCGGATATTATTTAAGCTTAATCGATTGTTGTAAAATTGTTGTTAGGAAAACAATTTAAGATTTATGTTCTCATAGTTGAGTGGTATTAGTGTTGTTGTTGTTACTGTTGCTACTTTTTTGGTTGCTCTTTTGCATGGTGGCCAGTGTAATGGAATTAGGTATTTTTCGGTTGGTCAAAGGGGACTTAACAAAATAAAATAAATCGTTGAACACATATGGGGATAATATATGGACATAGAGATTTTGGTAGATAAATACATGGATTGAAGAGCATGGTGTGAGAATTCGAAGCGGACAGAAGCTCTTGAGTGTAGAGAAAACCACTTTAAGGCATTTTTGGTATAGAAGTTCGCTATAATAAAATCCTCTACGAATAAAAGAAGTCTTGATGACCTTGGCATGTTTTCGGAATCTTGCAGTATTTTTATGACTTCTGATTATAGAAGACCTGCTATAAGATATTCCATTCTTCTATACAAAGAAATCGTCTATGAGGGCGCATTATTGGAGTATTCTATACCCAGCAGACCTCTAGGAGGACTTTTCTTTGTAACAAGGAGAAGGATAAGAAATAGACACATACTTCCTTTTGATGATCTCAATAGAATCACATTCTTCGTAATATTCCATCCGAAGACATTCTGGAAGTTTTCTTTGAATTGAAAAACTTCTGGAGATCTTCTTCGTATGGAAAGCCTACTTGAGGTCTTCTTAGCATAGAAGGACTTCTATTGGGACTTCTAGTGGGTTTCTTCGTCTGTTAGACCTTCTGGAGTTCTTCTTCGAATAGAATACCTCCTGGAGGTCTTCTTCGCATCAAAGGTTTCACGGCATCTTCTTGGCATTGAAGATTTTTTGAAATTCTTGTTCGAATAAAATACTTTTCGGAGGTCTTCTTCGCCCAGAATCTTGATGTACTGCCCATGTGGTTTAGAAAACCGATCGCATTTTTTGTCCGATAGAGATACACTTTTTCAGGAATCATTTGTTTGTCCCAAGGATGAACCCTTTTGAAATTGGTTATAATTCGTCCACATTTAGATTTAGCTCATATACAGGGTGAGATGAAAAAAACTTCAACCAAATTCAGGCTGCTGTCATTTCTAAGTCAGTCGTCCGACAGCTCTTAAAAGTATGCCAGTGATAGCTCACTATATTGTTTACAAGCATACAAAAGCATTTTGGTGAGAATTTTCCAGAAAAAAAGTTATTCGTGATGGAGTTCAATCGTGACAGTGTGATTTCTTTATATTTGGCTGGAAAACCACAAGTGGTTATCGTTAGAGCACTCCCGCATTTAAATGTGAATAAATCTTTTGTGTCTCGTCCATCCCTCGTTACCGTGTTACTGGTAGCGTAGCCCGACGTCAGAGAAGTGGACGGAATAAAACAGCACCATCAGCAGAAATGGTTCGTAAAGTAAAGAAGCGACTTGACCGAAACCCGCGTAGCAGTGGCCAAAAATTGGCTCGTGATGGCTGAACATATCGCAATATTCCATTCGGCAAATATTGAAAAATGAGCTCGGGATAAAGCCATTGAAATTACAAAAAAGTGCAAGAACTTACACCGCAACAGAAAGAAAATAGACTAAAAAGGGCTAAAGAGTTGCTTTGCTTGGTCGCAACTTGTGAACTGCCGAATTTGGCTTTCTCCTATGAGAAAACATTCGTTGTCCAGCAGTTTGTAAACAAACAAAATGATCGTGTTTACTTGCAAAAGAGGTCAGCTGAAAATGTGCACCTTCGGTTGACCACAACTCAACTCAAGCGCCGGCCATTGTGATGATGTGAGCCGCCATAACAGACGATGGTCGCTCTCCGCTCGTATTAATCGACCGTGGCATCAGAATAAATGCTGAATATTATCGCGAAAATATTCTGGAGGGTGTATTAAACAGGACTGAGCACTATCACACTCAGCACGCGCCACCCAAGAATGATTACAAAATGAGGTTACTCGCTTCATTTTCAGCGCACAATAGCCACCAAAATCTCCGGATACCAATCCGTTGGACTATTGTGTCTGGAGTATTTTGGAAAGCAAGGTTGGCACTAAAAAATACCAAAGTGTCGATCACCTCAAGCAAGCGCTTCGCCGGGAATGGGCCAAAATGCCGCAGAACAACTTTCGGGCAGCGTGTGACGATTTCATTGACTGTTTGAAGGCCATAATTCGTGTCAAAGGTGGCCAATTCGAACAAATCTAAACTTGTTCTAAAATTTTATGCTATTTCCGAAATTTTTTGCCTTCACTTATTAAAATTAAAAAAAGTAAAAATTATGGCGTTTGACTTTTTTGCAGTTTATTTCTCACCCTGTGTATAATATATTTAAAACAAATCCACAATTTTAACTTTCTTCGTCCTTAAAAGAAATTTGTAAATGATCCCCTCCTTAAAGTTTTAGAAAAATATTTTTAAAAATCTATGGTTTCAGATCTATTGATTATAGGAAAGAATTTTTAAAAATTTTATGATTGTAGATATTCTAATTATTGGATAAATGATTCAAAACTTCTCCGAATTAAAATTCTGTGGTCTCACACGAAATGTTGGAACGAGGTGAGCATTTCGCTGAAAAAGTAGCGGGCACTATTCTAATATAATTCAACCTGAAATCATAACATATTCTCTATAACAATGTATTTGGGTTACAAATGACTCCGCCAAACTCGCTGGATATACCTCGCATATTATTATTATTAGATTCCAAATTATAACTGCTCTAAACCATAATATGCATTCACTAAGGTCTACTTTACATAAATTCGCAGCATAATAAACGTTTATTTCTTGCTGGTAGCTCTACTAAATATGCATAGTGGTGTAGGGCATCATTTAGTCGGGCTCGCCCGACTTTTCCTTCACAGTTTTGAAATTATTTGTGTTTTTTACAGTTTTCGCAAGATGCTTTTGTTTTAAGAATAAAATTCAAAATATTTAATATCACTATATATGTATCAAATGTTCAAAACACTATTATTCAGATACGGAACCAATAACACGAAATTAGCTTAAGATGACTTAAAGAGTTTTTCCAGAAAATGACAGACCTTGTCGAGTTGCTGCAAACCTAATGACATATCGTTTGGTGCATGATATAAAAATGGGGATATAAAAATGATGAAATTTTGTCAGAATCCTCACTCATCTTTAAAATTCATTTCCATACTTTTTTTGAATCCATGCAAAGCTAAATTATGTGGAAATATCAATAAAATTCTCAATTAAAAAAAAATAATAATAAAATAAATAAATTCCTATTTTTGAGTTGTTTTGCTCTAGAGGAAAAACCAATAATTTTTATCAAGGACCACAAGAGCCCTTATCTGTCACTTCACTTTTTTTGAAATTCATCAGCAAAAATATTTAATATATTCCCACACACACCGACACAAAAAGTTTGTTGTTTACAGCAAAAATGTAAAAACAATTAAATAAATATCTGTCATTAAACCATGCTTTATAAAGTCACCACAAAAAAAAATTAATAACTTTTTATATTTTGCAATTTTAGGTTCACAATTCAAGTGATGCTGTTGTGACATTACGTGAAGTTAACCTACAATCAGCTGGGCGATTTCGTTGTGAAGTATCGGGCGAGGCACCCTCATTTCAGACAGTAACGGAACATGGTGATATGGTTGTTGTATGTAAGTATTTAATCGAGTGAACAACAAAAAAATCGCAATACAATAGAAGAAATAAATATGTAGAAAATAATAACAAAAAATTGCTACAAAAATATTTCGTTGAATAACAACGAGAGAGAGTGAAAAACAATTGCAATATTAATTTTATACCGAGCGGACATACAAAAACACAAAACAAAACTCTTAAAAACAATACAAACATTCCATCCACAATGTGTGGTGGAGATTTTTTGCAAAACAAAAAAAAAGTACCTAAACTATGTTGTTCGGCGATGTTTTTAATAATTGTTAAATACAGCTCGTGTATTACATAAAACATGTAGAGAAAAAACAACAGCAACAACAACAACGGGTACAATGTTATTTGCGAATCTATAGAGCAAGTTGTTTTACCATCAATTAAAAATACATCGGGTAAAAAAACCCCTACTGTCGTGTTTTGCTTTTGTTTAATTGTTGGGAGCTGATTTGCTTTGCTAACTAACTGAACACAGAAAAACAATTACAAAGGCTTAAAGGCCGCGCAAGGATTTAATTTCAAAGTAATACATTGAGTTTTTCCGATACTACCAGTCAGCCAGCCAGGCAGCCAATCAGTCAGCCATGTATATAGGTTGATAGGAGCTTCAAACATGATTTTCATATGAAGTAACAGCATTCGATGAAAGTGCTCTGTGTTACCTTTTACAAAAAAAAAAAAAAAACCCAATTGATGAAATCTCAAATTGAATGTGACACAACAGATGCTGACATTCGTACCTTACCTTTGGAAAACAAAAATGTGTATTGGAATGTTTTTTTTTTTTTTTTTTAAGAGGAAGGACATTTCAATTTTGTAATAGCTTCAATAAAACTAGGTCGAATTATTCAAAAGCTGATTTCGGAATGTAGAAAATATGGTTGGAACAGGTGAAAATAGCTACACTAAAAATATAGAGAAAATTAATCTCAAACAAACCTAAAAAATATATCTACAAAAATTACCATGCGTGCAAAGAAAAAAAAAACGGAATATATGTAGATGTTGCAGGCCCCTTTCAGATCCTTTTTATCAAATTACAAAAAAAAAATAATAATAAAAGATAAAATTATAAAATTTATAAAAAAAAATAATAAGAAGGTGAAATTCCAAGATGTTTGCACTAGCTAAAATCGTCAAAATACCCAATACACTTATATGGTGGCTATACGAAGACGTGAACCTACACAGACAATTTTCTGTCTTAGGCTGTAGTATGCATTACGAACTTCAAACACCAAATTTAAATCAATTAAAAAAATTCCTGTGAATAATGTCGATAAAATCATTAAAACGCCAAATATCGGGAGGTACCGTTATTTGGGGGCTATACGAAGACGTGGACCTGCACAGATAATTTTCTGTCAAAGGCTGTAGTATTCATTACGAACTTCAAACAAATTTAAATCAATTCCGGTGAATAATGTCGATAAAATCATCAAAATAGCGAATATCGGAAGGTACCGTTATTTGCGGGCTATACGAAGACGTCAACCTAGACAGACAATTTTCTGCCATAGGCTGTAGTATCCATTACGAACTTCAAATGCGAAATTTGAAACAATTCCGGTGAATAATGTCGCTAAAATCATCAAAGTATCGAATATCGGGAGGTACTGTTATATGGGGGCTATGCGAAGACGTGGACCTGCACAGACAATTTTCTGTTGTAGGCTGTATTATCCGTTACGAACTTCAAATATCAAATTTGAAACATTTTCGGTGAATATGTCGCTTAAATCATTAAAATACCGCAAAAGGGAGGTGCCATTATATGGGTAAGGGAGGTATATTATATGGGGATATTACCAAAACGTGACCCATTTTCAATACCAGCAGTCCTGCAGATATAATACACATTTGAGTAAAACTTTATCAACCTACTTCATTTCGTTCGGAAGCCAGAGTGATTTCCACAGACGGACGGACATCGCCAAATCGACATAGAATTTTATGCTAAACAATGGTGTTAATATGGAGAAGAGTATAAAAACATAAAAAATTCCGTTTAAATTTAACAAATTCCGAATAGCAGGTGTTACTGTTATATAAAGCTATACTTCCGTATATAGCCACAAACGGTGTTGTCTTTTAAGAGCTCCAAACACCAAGTTTGATATAATTCAGTTGAAAAATGGAGCTAAAATCATCAGAATACCGAATTTGGGGATGTAGCGCAGGCTATAGGCAGACAGAGATCAGTGCAGGAACTTTGCTGCTTTGGAAGAAGTATCGATTGTAAACTGAAAATCCCGTATTTGAAATAATTCCGGTGAGAAGTATAGACAATATCACGAAAATACCGAATACCGTCATACGGGGCCTTTAGAAGATGAGGGCATGTACATGGTGAGATAAAAAACTGCAACAAAGTCAATTGCCATATTTTTTACATTTTTTTTGAATGAAAGCAAAAAATGTCGGAAATAGTATCAATTATTAGAATAGGTTTAAATTTATTCGAATTGGTCACCTTTGGCACGAATTATGGCCTTCAAACGGCCAATGAAAGAGTTACACACTACCCGAATGTTGCTCTGCGGTATTTTGGCCCATTCCCGTCGAAGCGCTTGCTTGAGGTGATCGACATTTTGGTATTTTTTAGTGCCAACCTTGCTTCCCAAAATACTCCAGACACAATAGTCCAACGGATTGGTATCCGGAGATTTTGGTGGCCATTGTGTGCTGGAAGTGAAGCGAGGAACCTCATTTTGTAACCATTCTTGTGTGGCGTGTACTGACTGCGATGGTACTGACTCCTGTTGGAATGTCTAAGGTCTGCGGCCATAATGTTTGCGTGCCCAAGGCTAAAATACACCCTCCAGAATATTTTCGCGATACTGTTCGGCATTTATTCTATTGCCACGGTCGATTAATACGAGCGGAGAGCGACCATCGGCTGTTATGGCGGCCCACACCATCATCATGGCCTGCGCTGGTGGCCAACCGAAGGTGCACATTTCACCATTGACCACTATGGCAAGTAATCACGATCATTTTGTTTGTTTACAAACTGCTGGAGAATGAATGTTTCTCATCGGAGAAAACCAAATTCGTCAGTTCACTATTTTCGGCCAAGCGAATCAACTCTTTAGCTCTTTTGTGTTTATTTTCTTTCTGTTGCGTTGTAAGTTCTTGCACATTTTAGAACTTTAATGGCTTTACCCCGAGCTCATTTTTCAATATTTGCCGAATGGAATATTGCTATATGTTCCGCTCACGAGCCAATTTTCGGCCACTGCGACGCGGGTTTCGATCAAGTCGCTTCTTTGCTGCTGTTTTCTTCCTACCACATCCTTGGCGTCGGCCTACGCTACCAAATGCTGGAGTGCTCTCACGATAGCCACTTGTGGTTTTCCAGTCAAATATAAAGAATCACACTCTCACGCTTGAATTTCATCACGAATAACTTTTTTTCTGGAAAATTCTCGCCAAAATGCTCTTGTACGCTTGTAAACTGGAATAATTTTAACAGCTGTCGGACGAGTGACTTAGAAATAACAGCAGTCTGAACTTAATTGTAGTTTTTTATCTCACCCTGTACATTGTCGAAAGTTCGACTTCGATATCATGAATCATAATTTTTCTAAAGAGACATCGGATTAAAAACCTTTATTTTGATTCGGTAAATTTTGGCTGGAGCTGCCTTAGACCCTGTGTCTTTCTGGAACAAATCATTTTCGATACAATTTTGAGGGTCCTTATCTATTTGGGTGTTGTTCCGCATTTAAGTTTCTCAAGTGAAGTAAATATAAACATGGGAAGACATGTAGGTTAATTGTTTGCTATATCTATTACACATATCAACCTTAATAAATCATGCAATTAAAACTGCTTCCTATGAAAAACACGTTTATGTACATATATTCCCCTTTAATTTATCAATCGATAAAATCCGAACTTCTATTTTACACTTCTTTTTTTTTTTTTGTTGTTTTAAAATCTGCCAAATTTCCTTTATGTACATGCAAGGCCCTAGAAAAAACCAAAATCCAAAACCAACAATAACATAAAGCTGCAAACTAAACTTTTAAATCTTTTGTGGAAATGCCCTTAGCTTCATACCGCTCCAAACTCTGACAGAGGTTTTTTGTTGCCGCTATGGCCTTTCAACTGGTAAAACAAAGTAAAAAGCGATCATTGTGAAAAAAAACGAAGAGACAACAAAAAACGGAAATTTTTTTTCATGAGTTGACGTTGTCAAATATTGAATTTCTACTGGAGTTTTTTTATTGGTTCTCTGCAAAAAAAAAAAAAAAAAAAAATTGAAAAAACAAAAGAATCAACAAAAGTTGTTCACAAAAAACTATGGCCCAGAATATGAGACAAATGTCCTCTTCTACACATGTCATGTTGATGAAATGTCACACGTATAGAGGATATGCAGTCATGGTCACAGGGACATCGGAGATGCACACACATACGCTGTGACACAAAAAAGAGCGAGTGAAATTTGCCCTTTTATTAGAAAAAGTCTTAAATTCGGTAACCCAGACTACATAGATATGAAAGAGTTTTGTTTGGGAATTAAAAACTTGATTTTATTTTAATATATGTTTATCTTTCATTTACTTCTTGTTCCTTTAATAATAAGAATTTTTCCTTTTTCTCTCCTTTTCCAGCCTTACCTGACCAAGGTGCCCCGAAAATCACAGGTGGCCGTCCTCGTTATCAAATCGGTGATACTGTGCGCATAAACTGCACTGCCGGTCGTTCAAAACCTGCCGTCCAGCTGGCATGGTTTATTAATGGCGAACCAGCCGAACCTTATCAGTTGAGAAAATATGATCCAGTTTTATGGGGTCGTGATGGTTTGGAAACATCCATCTTGGGTCTCCAATTCCGTGTCGACCAACATCATTTTCGTAATGGCGATATGAAATTGAAGGTGAGTATATTCTATATATCGGACTTATGGATAAAAACGTAATTTTTAATGGACAGAATTGGAATCCGATCGACAGGGGCTAGAAACCTTCATTTTTGCGGTTTTTTGTACCTATACTAAACACTGATATTGGGGAAATCCAAAATATTGAAAAATGCGGAATAACACTGGATTTTATGAAAGCCTTAAAAAAATACAAACATTGGAGGGAAATACTAATAGTATTTTGGTATTGGGCGGTTGTGAAAGGTCACAATTTTTAGTTTGTAAGGTATTGTAATGGTATTCGAAAAAAATGTAAATTAGTACTAAAAAGAACGATCTATTAGAAATGATATAATTACGGGATTTTTTGAAAATTCTTACAAAAAATTACAAAAGTTACTAAAGAGCACGAAACATAATGGTGCAGGTATTACAGAAGGGGTAAGGAATAGAGCTTTAATTTTTTTTTCACCTTTCATTTCAATTTTTTCACCTATTTATTCTTTTTTATAGAATTTTGAAAGGCCCTAGCAAGCTTTTAACGTGGATTTTAAATAGAATTTTGAGGGACTCATAACAAACCTTAAACGTGGATTTTTATATAGAATTTCGAAGGATCCATACCAAGCCTTTAACGTGGATTTTAAATAGAATTTTGAGGGATTCATAGCAAGCCTTAAACATGGATTTTTAAATAGAATTTTGAAGGGCTCATAGGAAGCCCTTAACGTGGATTTTCAAATAGAATTTTGAAGGGCTCGTAGGAATAGAATTTTAAATATAGTTTTGAATTGCTCATAGGAAGCTCTTAACGTGGATTTTTAAATAGAATTTAAAATATAATTTTGAAGGCCTCATAGGAAGCCCTTAACGTGGATTTTTAAATAGAATTTAAAATATAGTTTTGAAGGACTCATAGGAATCCCTTAACGTGGATTTTTAAATAGAATTTTGAAGGGCTCATAGGAAGCCCTTAACGTGGATTTTTAAATAGAATTTCAAATAGAAGTTCAAATAGAATTTCAAATAGAATTTCAAATAGAATTTCAAATAGAAGTTCAAATAGAATTTCAAATAGAATTTCAAATGGAATTTCAAATAGAATTTCAAATAGAATTTCAAATAGAATTTCAAATAGAATTTCAAATAGAATTTCAAATAGAATTGTGAAAAGAATTTTAATAAAAATTTGGGGGCAAGCCTAAAACATGGATTTTTAAAGAATTTTGAATCCTTAAACGTGATTTTTTTAAAGAATTTGAAAAACCCATAGAAATCTTTAAGCCTGGACTTTTAAAAAGAATTTTGAGGGACCCAAATCAAGCTTTTAAAATGGATTTTTATACAGAATTTTGAAGGACCGAGAGCAAGCCTTAAACGTGGATTTTTATACAGAATTTTGAAGGCCTGAGAGCAAGCCTTAAATAGTATTTTTAAAGGACCGATAGCAAGCCTTAAAACGTGGATTCTTAAAAAAGGACCTATAGGTGGATGTTTATATATGATTCCCATACACATCTTCACCCGATTTCAATTTAATGAGCCGTATGTGTAATATTCGTCCAAATAGAATATATTTCCAAGATACAAGTGATTCAAATTCGGTGAAAATCGGTTCAGATATAGTTATAGCTGTATATACAGGGTGAGATGAAAAAAACTTTAACAAAGTCAAACGCAATAATTTATACTTTTTTGATCTTATTCAATGGAAGCAAAAATGTCGGAAATAGCATCAAATTTTAAAATAAGTTTAGATTTGTTCGATTTAGTCACTTTTGGCACGAATTATGGCCTTCAAACGGCCAATGAAACCGTCACACGCAGCTCGAATGTTGTTCTGCGGTATTTTGGACCATTCCCGGTATTTTAGCCCATTCCCGTGATCTACACTTTCGTATTTTTCCAAAATCAGTTCGGATTTGGATACAGCTTCCATATATATATTTCAAGATTCAGATTTTTCCGATTTTCAGATTTTTTCATTTGCTGCAATATATATTTTTATACATAATATTTCTGGGAGTTATATCATGTACTCTATAGCAATGTTATCTGCTACAAGAGCCTCCTCAAATTAAGTGGACATTGGTGTAGGGTATCTTGTAGCCGGCACGCCCGAATTTCGACCTTCGCTAGCCAAACATCAATATCAAGACCTGTTTACTACTAAACACATGCGAACGCACAAATCAGCAAACAAACTACATTTTTTACTCGATTTTACTTGTGTGCAATATCTTACTCTCTGTCCAGTACTCTTGTTTATCAAACAAGAAACTCAGAAGGTCTGCAAACACAAACCAAAAGGGAGGGGAAAACTTTACTGAAGACTTGTACTCTTCAAGCACTTCCGCTCGCGAGTAAGTTTCTAGTAACAACGACCAAATTCGTGAACGGTTTGAAAGTGACGTTTTCAGAAAATTTCGCTTATGAATCGATTTTTTTTCGATTTTTTTAATATTTAATATTTTAATCAGATTTCATTACAGTTTTATTGATCCCATTTTTTCTCCCTCAAACACAACTAATTTTCTCTCTTTCCATTCTCTCTTTCTCTCTCATTTCAGTGTGTTGCATCACTTTCCACCTTCTACTGGCGCAGCAATGAAGAATCCGTTGAAGGCGATCGCCCTCAAAAAGCGCCCGTACTCGAATCCCGCGAAACTGTGTACGCCAGCAATTCAAGAGCTGATCCCGTACAAGGTATGTCATTGCGGGAAAGTTTTGTTACCAAAATTTTATCGTTTTTCATTCAACCAAATGCAGCCACTAATAAAACGGATTCCACAATGACAACAATAAAGCCCTCCACATTAATATTGCTGATAGCGATGGCTTTACTGACATCAAGTGGCTGTTTCGAACAGCTACATTTCAATGGTGGACGAGGGGGTGGTGGTGGTACAAAAAAACACAGTCACAAAACCAGCCAGTCTGGAGAGGAAAATTCCGAAAAGGAAATAACTAACAAATCAAGTTATGACATAGACGCTGATGATGACGATAACAAAGACGAAGAAGATACAGTGAATAATGCTGGCAAGGAGTACAGGCATCATGACTGCAATGTGAAGGATGATGGTGATATCGGCTCGAAAAGTTGTGGCCACAACCTGGCTAGCAAAGTCCTGCAGAGACAAGTTGTTAGGGCTCTATCGAAAGAAATGCACTTTAATAAGGAAATGTCATGTCTGCCAATAATGTTGACAAACACAACAGTCCCCAATGCCATCACCACCACAACCTCCACCTCCACCATTACCACTACAAACGCAACAATACCGAGCACAATTTCAGTGTACCATCAGCACGCATTTAATGTGACAACATCCGTTTCCCTTGAACAAATATTTAAGTCCTGTAACTCCTACAATGCGAAAACATCTAGACCGTCATTATTAACGTTGCCGTCATCATTGTTATCGTCATCGTTGTCGTCATGCTCATCTTTGCCATTGTCCTCGCCCTCATGCTTGTCATCTTCGTCATGCTACTTGCTGGGCGGCGAATCAGCCTTCACAGCTCAGCAAGACCAACAGCAGCAGGGCCAAAGCTTGGTAGCATCAAGGTAGCTATTTAATTGAATTAAATATAACATCATCAGCAGAAAGAGCAGCAGCCAGAGCATGAATAGAAGAATTTTTGTTCGATAACTTTTATCTATCTTACAAAAAAAAACGAAAAAAAACATTACATTTTCTGCGTACCCAAAAAAAAAACCGTGAACTAACATTCAAACAACAAGAACAAAAAGTATAGAATTTAGTTTTTAGTTCCTTATCAGTTTTTTGTGTAATTATTATTATTTAGAGTAAAAAAGCCAAGCAAAATCAGAAAAAAAGAAAAAATAAAAAAAAATTATACCAAAAAATATTTTGAAATTTATTTTTTATTAATTCGTAATGAAATGATAACAAATGTAAATAGTATTTGTTAAATTTTAAGAGAGTTTTAATAACGAAAAATTAAAAAAAAACAAACCAAACATCCTTTCCAAAGGATATGCCACCAACCTCTCCCTAAAAACAAAGCAAAACAAACAGCCATACATACCTATACATATAAAATTACACACATAGAGATACGACAAAATGGTAAAACAATTTAATTATATATAAATCTAAAAAAAAAAAACAATCCAAATCTAAAATTTAATATTATTTTTAAAATAACAACAACAACCAACATATTGTAATTTAATATGTATTTTTATGTGTATTTGTGTAATTCCATTCTCAAATGGAGATATTATAAAGATATGAATTTTTCTTTATCTCTATAACTCTATACGGTTAGTAGTTAAGCGAATCAAAGAAAACAACAACAACTCATCAGCCACATAGTCTGTAAGCTAACGATAACTTAGGTAGTCAAATAAAAATTTAAAAAAAAAAAGAAATCCAAAAAAGTAATCAAAATAATTTTATTTCATAAAATCTTAATTTTTATGACGTAACGTCTTGTATTTGGTGTAATTTAATTTCTTTTGCCATATATATCACTTATTATATCACTTGTGTACAGTTTAAATGGATAATAAAAATGCAACTAATAATTTTAAAATATTCAAAATTTTTGTTTGATTTTGATTTAGTTTTTTTTATTTTTTACACGGAGGTCCTAATGAAAATAGTTGAAATTTTTCGTTGGGAAAAGGCGAAAACATAGCTTTTTCATATTGGTATGAATTGTTGAGTGACCAACTAATATTTTTCAAAAGCAAAGCTCGAAGTAGTTGAGATTCCTAGACTTGACTGTTAATATGCTGATTTTTTGATTTCCACCCAGAGACGACATGTGCATTATTTTTGATATTCCCTTTATAAGAAGAAATAAAATAAGAACCAGTAAGGAAAAGTCAAAAATCGGGCGGGGCCGACTATATGATGCCCTACACCAATATGCAGATTTAGTAGAGCTCCAGTAACAAAAGAATTCATTTGAAGTAGATCATACCACCTATCAAAATTGGGCTTTGAAGCAGTTATAGTTTGGTTTCAGAGGGAAATAATATATGGGATCCATATCCAATTCTGAATCGATTTTCACAAAATTTGACAGAGACATTTTAACCTTTTATAATAATACTATCCAATATAGCTATAAAGTGCATGATATCACTTCGAGAAAGATTATATTAGAAAAATATATATCGGCTCCGAGTTCACCAAAATGGAAACGTTCGTCCCGAAATTCACTCCATTTCGGCTGACATTAGCCATTATTTGCACAATAAACCTGCAATTGGATTAAGGATATATATGGGAGCTATAGCCAAATCTCAAAAAATCGATAAAATTTGGCAAAGGTATTTCCGAGCTCTATAATATATCTGGTACCAAACATCATCGTTGTGGAGTGCATATTATACATGTGAGGGAATTAAATTGGATGAAACATATATATGGGAGTTATAGCTATATCTGAACCGATTTCAAATTTGATGATGATTCAAATTCACGTCATTAGAACTGGTATTGGCCATTTGGCGCACAATAGACCTGAAATAGGATTAAGGATGTATATGGGAGCTCTATCTAAATCTTAGCCGTTCTCGATATAATTTGACAAAGGTATTTCTGAACTCTATAAGATATCTTGTACCAAATATCATTGTTGTCGAATGCTATTACGAATATGAGGGACTTAAAAACCAAATCGGATGAAATATATATATGGAATTTATAGCTATATCTGCACCAATTTCCAAAAAATTTCATGTACTTACTTCTAGTCTGAATTTGGTCAGATGTGAAAAAATCCCGGTCGTTTGGACTGATATTGGACATTTGCGCACAATTAACTCGAAATCGGTTGAGGATATAAATGGAAACTATATCCAAATCTGATCCATTCTTTACAAAGTTTGGCAGAGGTATTTCCGAGCTCTATACCAAAGACCATGAGAGCTATAGCTATTTCAGAACCGATTTTGATGCACTTGCTTCTAGACTTTATTCGGTGGGATGTACTAAAATTCAGGTCATTAGGACTTATATTCGGCATTTGGTGCACAATTACTGCTATGTGGTATGGGGTATGAAAATAAATATGGCAGCGGATGAAAATATCGTTCCTTTACTCTAAGACTATAAAAACTCCACACCCGATTTCACTGATATATCATCACTTGATAGAAATATTGATTTCGTTTGTAACTTCTCGAAAATTTTCGGAATTTTTTTATACCCTCCATCATAGTGTGAAGGGAATATTAGGCTTGTCATTTCGTTTGTAACAACTCGAAATATGCATTTTTTGAACATCGATTTAGCGATGTCCGTCCGTCTGCGGAAATTACTCTAGCTTCCGAACAAAATGAAGTAGGTTAATAAAATTTTACTCAAATGTATATTATAGTATTATGTATATTATAGTAATGGATACTACAGTCTATGACAGAAAATTGTCCGTACAGGTCGACGCTTTCGTATAGCCCCCATATAACGGTACCTCCCGATATTCGGTATTTTTATAATTTTAGCGACATTATTTAAAGGAATTGTTTCAAATTTTGTATTTGAAGTTCGTAAAGGATACGACAGCCTAAGACTGAAAATTGTCTGTGCAGGTCCACGTTGTGGTATAGCCCCCATAAAATGGTATCTCCCCATATTCAGTATTTTAATGATTTTAGCTACATTATACTACGTTTTTTATTAAAGTTACGTATTTAAATGTTATGATGGCTTATGACATGATTTGCCTATGCAGGTCCACGTAACCGCTACATTCGGTATTTTTAAGATTTTTACAGAATTTTTTTTTTTTTTTTTGAAAATTTCCAAATTTGTTCTAAATGGTGGAGGTTATTCAAAGTTCGGACTACCCGAACTTACAGGTTTTTTACTTATATTTGTTTACATACTCGCTAAAATCAACATGAGCTTCCTCTGAAAAGATATTTTTCTCTTGGCAAAGCTGGCAACTTCTTTAAGTCGACCCTAAGCCCACAGCCAAAAGAAAACGCATTTGATGGTCAGTTCCCTTCAACTCCTGATGCAATTGGACTGTGTTGAAATGTTCAATTATTGAGCACAACAGAGAATTAATATAGATGGCGTAACGTCGTTCCAACGTGTACACTGATAAAAAAAGTAATAGTTTCATTGAGGATATCTTTCGGGAAGACTACAATTTGTAACTATTTTCTTGATATATTTATTATTGCATTTCGAATTTCTTCCGAGGGGTTATTTTGAAAAAAAAAAAATCTTTTTTAACGAAGCAAAAATAGTAGGGTCTACAAGAAAGTAGTTCAGAACTCAGTTTTTTCACATTTTAGACCCATTGATTTGGTTTGATAAATATTTTGTGATATAATATACCCCCTCTTAAATAGGTTGTCGTAAATATTGTTTCGGTCATAACAAGATATCCTAGATATACAATTCCTCCAATCAATTACTTTCAGTAGCGTGTTTTTATGAGGTAAAAAATCAAAATCCAAAAAGTCAAGCAAAGTTTTGCAGCCAAGAGAACAAAAAAAAACGCTCAAGAAAAAAACTTCTCTAAAATTTCATAATCATTGGGGTCTCCTTTCGTATTTTCTTCAGATTCATATTTTTCTTCCAATATTTGTGTCTTATATTTTGTAAAATATGTATGTTATGCAAAAAACAAAAAAAAAAATCAATTTCTTCATCCATAGGTTAGAAGAAAATGTAAAACAAAAAGTCTTATATTATTAACAAAAACATATCGTAACGTTTAAAATAAATAAAAAATAAATAAAAAATAAAATGAAGGAAAATATTGCCAAAGTTTTTTTTTTACTTTATGAAATATATTAAAATATATATTTGAATTATTCTCTATACATATTTACACAAATAACAACACACTATACACTATTTTTTGCATACGCATAACAATTTTGTATATAATTTCTTTTTCTATAAATTTCATAAATATTTTATATAAACAATTTTGTACTAACAGAAAAAAACATTCCATATATTTTGCTATAGTTTTCGGACAAAAATATTTCAAGGTTTAAACTGTAATAAAACAAGTTTAAGGTGGTCCAACTATACAGGGTGAGATAAAAAAAAACTGCAACAAAGTCAAACGCCATAATTTTTACATTTTTTTTAATTTTATTGAATGAAAGCAAAAACTTTCGGAAATAGCATCAAATTTTAGAATGAGTTTAAATTTGTTCGAATTGGCCACCTTTGGCACGAATTATGGCCTTTAAACGGCCAATGAAACCGTCACACGCTGCCCGAATGTTGCTCTGCGGTATTTTGGCCCATTCCTGGCGAAGCGCTTGCTTGAGGTGATCGACACTTTGGTATTTTTTAGTTCCAACCTTGCTTTCCAAAATACTCCAGACCCAATAGTCCAACGTATTGGTATCCGGAGATTTACTGATATGGTTAATGTGGCCATGGTGCGCTAGAAATGAATGCGATAGTGCTGAGTCCTGTTGGAATGTCCAAGGTCTGCGGCCAAAATGTTAGCATGCCCAAGGCTTTAATATACCCTCTAGAATATTTTCGCGATAATATTCGGCATTTATTCTGATGGTACGAGACATATTGAATGAAAGCAAAAACTTTCGGAAATAGCATCAAATTTTAGAATGAGTTTAAATTTGTTCGAATTGGCCACCTTTGGCACGAATTATGGCCTTTAAACGGCCAATGAAACCGTCACACGCTGCCCGAATGTTGCTCTGCGGTATTTTGGCCCATTCCTGGCGAAGCGCTTGCTTGAGGTGATCGACACTTTGATATTTTTAGTTCCAACCTTGCTTTCCAAAATACTCCAGACCCAATAGTCCAACGTATTGGTATCCGGAGATTTACTGATATGGTTAA